TGATTTTGTTGTCCTTGGGCTCATATTACACATGAATTGTGCAGGAACAATAAATTTAACTTGAGCTCTGAACTTTGAAAGTGCTTGTTTTCTTTCAGGTGGCTAATTGCCTCACAACTGGCTTGCTCAGTAAGCCTTTTAGATGTGACCATTTTATCACATGGAAATTCACATAAGTATTTTCAACCAAATGTCATCTTTTGAGATGCTGATTTCCTGTTAACCAGGCTGGAGAGCAATGTATATGATCATAGCTCACAGCAGCTTTTAACTTATGGGCTCACATGATCCTCCTGTTCAGCCTCCCAATTAGCTGTGACTATAGGCATGTGCCACTGGGCACATGTAATTTTTTTTTTTTTTTTTTTTAGAAAAGATGAGGGAGGGTCCTCACTATGTCACCTGGTCTCCTATTCGATTCCTAGCATCAAGGGACCTTCCAGCCTTGGCTGTCCTAGTCCCTGGAATTACTGCAGGCATGAACCACCCCTCTGGCTCTTTTAAATACTAAATCAAAGAGTACTAGAATCTGATTTAAATGAACAGAAATAAGCCTTACAGTTAGAATTTATCAGAGTATTGTAAAAATATTTTTCCAAAGTAGATTATTTCAAAACTGACCCCGATTTCCAGATTTAAAAGTTATGAATTCAAACAGTAAAAGCAAGAGCCCAAATAGGCAAGCCTCTATTTTTTAATCAATTTTCTCAGCGACTTTTGTTAGATCATACTGTTCTGTCCCAGTCGTTCTAAACTATAAGTGATTAGCGTGCGCGAAGTTCTAAGCTTACTTAGGCTCCCTCAATAAATCCGAATAGACTCTGAGAAAAACGGTTTTGCATTCATTCTATGAGAGCCCAGTCTTCAGAAAGACCTCTAGGTTAAGCTCGTCCCTTCCTACCTCATTCCTGGAAATTTCTATCAGGGAGCAGACTTGGCTGTCCCAAATGAAAGGGGAGAAGGTATCTTTTGTTCTTAATCCGAGTACCAGTGGAATTCGGCCCAGAACTTTGTCCGAATTTTCTGCAGGTTACCTGATGAAACCAACAGGTGAATTTGCTAGAATGAATTCATTTTCATTCATTTAACATTGGCAAGACGCCTATTAGTGGGTGCGCGGCGTGGTGCTAATAGTCAAAGAAAAGGACTTTTTTTTTTTAACCTGGGCCTGAAGCAAAACGCCCAGCACTTCCTGCTATCTTGGTCTCCTGAGTGCTTCAATGAGCTGATCTCCGTCCCTCCCTTTCTGAAGAGCCCAACCTTTGCAGTGCAGGCTACACTGGCGCCCTCTGGGCGCAGAATCTGGTTAGCTCCCCAGAGCACCAGACCCAGCCAGAGGTTTGTAACCGCCAAAGATTTCACAGAGGGGAATTGGCATCGGTGCTGACAGTGGGAGGCACACAGGACACCCAGGGGCAGAGTTTCGAACCCACAAAGTAACATGGCTACTTCCTTAAGCATTTTGCGGTCACCCTTGCATGAGTGAAAGCCGTGAGTGCTCTCCTTCAGAAAATGCACATCGCAGACACCTCTATTTAGAAACGATTTCAGGAGGTTCATATGTTAGAATCCCCGGTTTGGGGAAAAAAGCCGTTTCCGCAGAAGTATTCTGTAGCTGAGCGCCAGGACGCTTCTGCAACAGCACCTGTGGCAGAGGACCGCGCGCGGCGCATCTCAGCGGCCGCGCTTCGGCCTTCTCCACTCTTCACGCAGCTGGGCGCGAAAGACCAGGCCAGGGCCAGGGAACCTACACCGCAGGAAAAACCCCGAAGCTGAGGACTGGGCCCCGCAATGGGTGTCTGCCTCCGAGCTCCAGGGCTCACTGCGAGCGGGATGGGCCGTCCCCCGCCTACCCGGAGCGCCGATCCTCCGCCCGGCTCTTCTCCGGACGCCCGGGCGTCCTCTCCGGCCAGTACATCCCGCCCTGGGTCCGGCGGCCGCCCTGCCCGCGGGCCTGAGAAGAGCGTGTCTCAGACGCGCGGTTCCCAGCCCCGAGTTTTTATTCTCTCGCAGAAGGGCCGCCCCAGGAGTTAAGATGTAGAGTCAAACAAGGATATCCTGGAAGTCAGGCAGGCCGGCTGCCTCCTTGAGCGCGGAGGCACCTACTCGCCAGGGGGAAAAGAAGCAGCACCAGGCAGGGTGTCCTAGCACATGGCGAAGATTCTGGGGACTGAGGTCTGGGGTGCGGACCGAACCCCGGGAGTACCTGGAGTTCAGTGGCTCGGCCATTCACCACACACCCGAGGGTTAATTTCCACTCTGCCTCGGGGGGTGGGGGGTTAGGAAGCCTGGGTTCCCACTTCCCCGCGCAGCCCCGCGCTAGCAGCGTCGGGACAGGCTGGTGCATATTATGTGCGCCCTACGCGCTTATACCCAGAGAGATCCCCGGCAAGGCCGAGAAGTTTCTTTCTACCCTTCCTAGCAGCTGCGGGCAGCAAGTGACTTCGAGAGTGCCTGAAGTCTAACGGTCAAAGTGGTGTTGAAGCCAGGTTGTGCTGGGTGTCGGAGCTGTGGAGGTGGGTGGAATGCGTTTGTGCACCAAGCCTCTTCTTGAGAGCGCGTGCAGGTATAATGCGAACAGGTCGCCGTCACGCTAAAGTGTGAATGCGACTGCAGGAGAGACTCAGAGACAGGCTTGCTGCACGTTGGAGAGTGAACCCCTCAGGATACTCTGTGAGCCAGTGTCTGCTTTTTGAGCATCTGTGCTTGACGGAGTGGGCGCACGCTTAGAGACTGCAGTGAGTTTGTGCGGACAAGTGTGTCTGGAAGTGGGTGTGAGATTTAATCTAGGCAGGGACTCCACAGCACTGTCAACCTTGCCCGCACTTTTGTGGAGAACCAGAGTGCGGGAGTTGGAGAGCCGGCAGGAAACAAATGCTTACTGGGACATCTTGACCAACACCAGCCGGAGGCAAAGAGGCAGCTGTGCAAATGCTTTGGGCAGGCGGACTGAATGAGAGGTGATGAATGGCAGGGTGAGAGGGGAGGGCTAAAGGTCTGGATGGAGGTTCTGGAAGCATCTGTTCCTTGCACCCGGCCCCTCAAACCCAGCTGGGCTCCAGCCCCCTCTTCACACGTGTAACAGATCTGAGCTGCACCCTGGGACCGCCCAACATGAGTGCAGGGGAGAGTTAGGAATTCCGAAGTATTCATTGAGATTTTATGGTATCTCCTATGTGGATCAGGAAACTCCTCTAGATCCCTACCTAGCTGGGAGCCAGGCACTGGGATATTTCTCATAACCTTTCTTCAAGATAGAACTATGGGTTTCCATTTCAAAGATAAGTACATTGAGGCTCTGAGAAGTTATTTGCCCATGATCACAAAGACTTGAATTAGCCCAGCTGGAATTAAGTTCAGGACCCAAAGTTCTTGCTCCCAAATTCATCTCCTGCGCTAGACCCTACCTGGGTGATGCCAGCTAGGGTCAGAAAGCCTTTGGGGGCTCCAAATCCACCCGCCAGCGTCTTAACTCTTCAAACCTCACTTGGGCAAGGATCTAGAGTCAGAACTGGGGAAGCCAGGAGCCCCCACAATCCTAGACTCTGCCCTCCAAGCTCCACAGCTGAGGGTGGAGTGTAGCGCAGATTCAAAACCCAGGATGACTAGAGGTGAAATCTACAGTGACGTCAAACTGTCTCAAATTCCCGCTCACTTTAAGGGAGTTTCTCGTTCGTCCCTCGCCGCCCCACCACCACTTGCATCAATGACCTCAATGCAAATACAAGTGAGGCCACGCGGCTGGATGGTTCTGGAGGTACTGAGGTGACGCAATCCGGCTGGGCCACCGGACCACTGCGACCATTGGATGCCCGGTGCTCAGGGACCCCTCCCGACACAGTGAGAGAGAGAATAAGAGCAGCCGCCCTCTGGGAGGCATCGGAGCCTCCAGCCCAAGTGCCCAAGTGCCGCCACCGCTTCCTCCAGGCACTCGCTCGACCGCAACACCGCGCTACCCCTGCTCCAAATCGCTGTCCACCAGGTGAGCCCAGAGATTGCTGCTCAGGTGTGTTCTTCTATTTCTCCTACTCCGCTCCGCCCTCTCCCTCCATTAATCCACCTCTCTGCCACTCTCACCGTGTCTGTCCACTTCTGCGTCAGTCTCTTACAGTCTCTGTTTAGTCCTCGATTCAAACCTGGCTTCCGCCCCAGCTCTCGTTCCGGGAGCTCCTTGCTCCGCTCTTCCTGCCCGGCTTCGGAGTCCAGTCTCTTTCCCTTTGCACACATGCTTAAACCAGTCGCCAGACACTCGGGCTTCCCAGGCACCGTGCGCAGAGCAGAACTCAGGATTGCTGAAGCAGACCGTGCCTGCGAGGATCGAGTCTGGAGTCTAGCGGTGTCCAGGGTATAGGTTTAAAATCTGAGCCAGCGCTAATGCGTAGTAACCACTGAGGGACAGGCAGCCGGAAACTGCAAGCCCCAGTCGCCGGCTCTAGGAGCGCAGAGAGATCCCAACTTTAGACTCTGTTAAGATTGGTTATTTCAGGGGACTAAGTTGCCAGAGGGTGGAGCAGTTGAGCAGTAAAATTAGTTCTTCGGTTTCTCAAAGATTCCAACGCAGATTTATTCCCTCTCTACGTAACCCCCACCTAGGTGCGTGCAGAAGCTCCAACGAGGGCAGCTTTGGGTTGCTTTATGAGAGCAGCTGCTGGGGGGGGAAGGAGAGATCCGAGAGTGTCCCCCACAGACACCTGGCTAACAGGTTTATGTGCCTGTGTGTGGCCTTAGGGTAGGACTGAGACCTCCCCACCCAGCTGTCCCCTCTAGGAACGCTCCTCTAGCTTTGCCAAACTGCAGGTGGCAGACCCCCCGGGCCTTCCAGCCGTCCATTTCATTGATGAGGAAACAAAGAGGATGAGAAATGAAATGACTAGTCTGAAGCCACAAAACGAGGGAAATAGCAGCGGGGCAGAAGCAGGACGAGGGTCCAGGTCTGTGGGCTGGTAGAATTTTGAACTGGTGCAGGTAGTTACACCATTCTTCCCTTGCAGAAGGGCGTCATGGGCTTCCAGAAGTTCTCCCCCTTCCTGGCTCTCAGCATCTTGGTCCTGTACCAAGCAGGCAGCCTCCATGCAGTGCCACACAGGTAAGATCGCCTGAAACCAGGAGCACACTTTGCTGCCCATTGGATCAAACAATTCCTTTGTGTTGTAATTGTGGGGTAGCGTGCTGATTGCTTACAAGCCAGGCCAGGGGGCAAGGGAGATTTGAAGGACGGGAGCATATATGTATGTATATATACGCCGGGTGTCCGTGAAGTTCATGTGCAATTTTAATTTTTCTGATAAAAAGTATGTAACACATAATTTATAAATACAGTGGAACTACTGTACGTTGACCACCCAAGGGATTGTAACAAACTGGTCAACACACGGAGGTGGTCAACATAAGGAAGTAGGCCTCCTGTATTCATATATACATGTGCAGGTCAGGTCTATGAAAATTAGGTCAACTTAAGGAGGTGGTTGATGTGGAGCTGTGCTCAACTCTGGATGTTCCACTATAGTAATAAGATACATAGTAGTCTTTACTGTAAATTTCATATAGCCCATTGACTCCCACAAAAGGCCTTCCTTGTTTTTTAGCAAACTTTTGTATCTGTAGCCCAACTCATTTATCCCATTCAGCCTTGACTTGAAAAATGAATCGCATCCTCAAGTGGTAACTAGTTTGCCAGTAAATTTGCTTTATTAAATATATGTGACCTGTTGATCTATTTCTCATGCACATACAAATTTATTAAATTGAAAACTTTTTCAGAATTTCATCATGTAATTTTTAAGAATGATTTCACAGGCTCAGCACCTGTAGCTCAGCGGCTAGGGTGCCAGCCACATATACCGGAGCTGGCGGTTCGAATCCAGCCCAGGCCTGTCAAACAACAATGACAACTACAACCAAAAAATAGCTGGGCGTTGTGGCAGGTGCCTGTAGCCCCCGCTACTTGGG